GATCTTGATATTATTACAATATTTTGCATTTCGATTTTTCTGCGTATTGAGCTCCTCTACATTTTGTCAATGATTTATTTCTCGTTTTATAGGCTCGATAAAATGAGTTCAAATTTGTTGAAAATAATTCGGCAGAGGAGAAAGTATATTATACTGTCTATGTATCTAAATAGGTGCATGCATATGAAAATTTATCGACCTTATATTTGAGACGAAGAAAGAGCATTCTTTACTGATGGAAAAAAAAGATCTGCATCTTATTTTTTGATGTATACTAGTTAAATTTTATATTGTGATGAAAGATCAATAGAATATATGAAACACAGTTTTTGCCTGCAAAGGGAGACAATATATTAGTTTTTTTAACGACGGTACGATGATAGGAAACGATTTAAAAAAAAAAAAAAAAAGATAAATAATCGGAAATCAAATTTTATATCTCAACACATGGGATGTAATTAGCCATATCTGCAAAAACTAAGAAAATAATAGTTAGATAAGTAAAATATATCTCAGGAAAATATAATAATTTGGTGGATAAGGTGTCGGTTTTCAGTCGGCGTTTTGACGGGCTGAACTCCATAGTAGACTTGTCCATCTTAATCTACTGCTCCGATGTCCTCGCGTATTGGCTCAAAATATTTTTCAAAGTTATGGTGTCTTCTACCGAGGCCTCACCAAAAAAGAGTCTCGTCTCCAAAACATAAATTCGCAACAATAGGGGCAGCCGGAGCTATCCGAATCCCATGAAAATTCCCATTATCGAAGCCTAGGTGCAGTAGATACAAAGATATGGTGAGAGGGGGTCACCCTGCCGAAGACCTCTCTTCAGAACCCCCGAGCCAAATTGAGAATCATTAAAAAGAAATAAGAGACGGTAGACACACAAAGTCGTATAATAATCTCAACAAAATTACGAGGGAGGCCAAAGCGGACAAGTTTTTGTTTCTATAAAAAGCCACTCAATCTGATCGTAAGCTTTGCTGATATTAAACTTAATGGCTTAATCCCACATTGCACCCTTAAAATGGAGTCTTTTGAAACTTTCCACTCTTGAAAAATGATAATAGTAATTTGCACTCTCAAAACACAATAAATCATTCACAATTCACCCTTAATTGAATAATAAATGATTATTCATTTTTTATTGATTTTTTTTTTCCGGGGTGCAAAATAACGTCAAATGAAATTATTATTTTCTTCAACCTCCAATCTAATTTCGGGCGCACAAAGAGCAAAACAATAAAAATCACACCGTATAACTGGAAAAAAAAATATATTCATACAAAATAAAATCAAATAAACTTTTATCACTAAATTATTCGATTGATAGATCGTTTATTGTAATTGGTGGAAATATTAGGTAGAAATATTTTGAAGAAAATAATATTTTCGGATAACTTAATAACGAAATAGCTGAAGAATTTTGTTTTCCCGAAAAATATTTATTTATGATAGAAAATATAATTTTTAAATACAACTAAAAATATTAAATTACTTTTATTAGCTTTAAAAACTCATGCGAGGTTTCATTATGCATGAGATATTGTGTTTCGATGGTGCAAAGTGCTATTAATTTGTTTCAAATGTGCAAAATGCCAAAATAGTATATTTTAAGGGTGGAAAGTGGGATTAAGTCTAAATTTGAATTTGAATTTGATGAAGTGGTTAACCTCGTAAGCAAAAGTTGTTTGAGTGGGGAAGATTAGGTCATTCAAAAGAGGCTATAAACAATTAACAATTATTTTGGAACCAATTTTATAGACAACATCACAGAGGCTAATAGGACGGTATCGACAATTCTTTCAGGATTTTTCTTTTTTGGAATAAGAACAATATAGGTAGGGCTCGACATGGGCTGACTCGGACAATTATCGGCCAATTACCTACCCAAATTAATCTATCAATTTTACTGAATATTGAAAACTATTACTGGGCCGATCATTATGGGCTGGGTAATAGTTGGAAACCAACTTTATTTAGTGGAAAATTGGTTGAATGGTTGGTGTTATGGACCATCTAATTATTGATATTTTTGTTTTTTTACAATCATAAGATTTTATTCTATCAAAATCCTCCCCACGGAAATATTATTTTGGTTGCACTTTGCCGCAAAAGGCAATTTTTGGTGGGATCGTGCAACAAAAATAACATTTTAAAAGGCTAACGTGCTGAAAAATATCATTTTTAAATCGGACAGTTTGCAGCAAAAATAACATTTTAAAAGGATAACGTGCTGAAAAATAATATTTATAAATGGGGCAGCGTGCAGTAAAAATAACATTTTAAAAAGGGCAACGTGCAACAAAACACACCCCATTGAATTACCCATCAGAATTTTGTTATAGGACAATGTGCAACAAAAATAATATTTTAAAGGGGGACATTCACTTCTTTTAAATTTAGAGAGAGTAAAATGCGAAAATTATAAATTTATAGGGGGTCATGTGCAATTTGCCCTCCTTTTAATGCCCAGAAAAATGAAAATACAGAGTGTTGTCAACTTCCCCAAATCTCTACCCTAGAAAGAAGAATTTCATCAGTGAAAAATGAAAATACAGAGTGTAGTCATGCTTACAAGGTTGTGAGGCTGGTTTATTTCGTATACCGTAGCTACTTCACTCCGAAAGTCGAGATATTCTCGCTCGAGACAATGAGGTGGCGGAGGGTGCGCGGAGTTGATGTTACACTCCGGGCTTATTCGAATATGTACTGTCAAGTTTTCTTTAATGGGGTTGTCCATTGGCTCTCCGAAAAAGAACCGATCGATTACAGTAATGCACGACTTAGTTCAATTTTGGCCTTTGACATTGACAATGAGGTGTTCGGTGAAGTAATGTTGCCACGCGAGTTGGCAAATGCAAGTAAACTACCGACTCTGCGCATCTTCGTGATTGGGGAATCGCTCGGTGTGGTCAAGTACGTTGGGTGCGCGTGTGATGTATGGGTGATGAAGGAGTACTGCGTGGAAGAATCTTGGACTAGGTTGTATACCGTTGATTTGATGCGGGGTGCGTTTCGAGTAATGGGGTTTCGGAAGTGTGGTGAAGCTTTATTGGGTTTATATAGGCTTGATTTAGACACTAATAGGATTGATTTAGTTCTTATAATCAAGAAATTGGGCGGGTTAAGGATCTTGGAATCAATGGGACTATTACGCTGTCGTTCTACGTCGATAATTATGTCGAAAGCTTGCTTTTGCTTGGACGACATGTTAATTAAATGGCTAATGTATAACTTAAAATGGAGAATTATCAATTTAAGAAAGTTTAATTTTTTTTAGCTTAAACCGTACACCTTTGATGGGGATGAAATCGAAAGGCATGATTACGGGAAAGTTTAATCCACCCACCGAAATTAGTCAAATGGGGTTTTTGTTATTTAGAGATTACTCTTTAACTGATGATCTAAGGGTAAGTTGACGGAAATGAGCAAAAGTGTTAAATTATTGAAACAGAGGGACCAAATGTGTTTTTTTTTAAATAATGTGAAATCAATGCAAACTTGAGGGATGTAAACTGTAATTTTCTCGTTCAGATTTAATTGATTAGGTAGAAAAGAGATTAGTTTATCCAATGGAATGTTTCGGTTGTGCGATTCTTTCGGTGTAGTATGCTTGAACCGGAGAACACTGCGATGTGATTATTATTTTCGCGGTCTGGGATTGCCATACCACTATGTTGTTTGGTACAATATTAATATTGTACCAATACTCCCGAGACCTGCATCCAATTTCAATTCCTTTGCGCTTCGTCCTTGTAAATTTTGCAAGTTATAAGCTTGATTTGAGCACTATTCAAACACGTGATTCGAAATAACATAGGATTCGAGTTTTAGCCTAAAAACATAAAACCCAATAATATTTGAGTTTGATTTATAGTCTTGAAGCCCAATTGTACGTAAATTGTAGCCTACTAAAACTCGGATCATATGAACTGATTGTCACCCATAATTTTAACCTAAATAAAATTTAAATTAATTTATGCATGGGCTGCACTTCGCCCCCTCAAAAAATATCATTTTTGCACTTCCCCCCACAAAATAGAAAAAATGAGATTGTCCCCAACTTCGATTTTCTTTAAGGATTGTGCAATAATGGTTTTTATCATAGGAATTGATATAATTATGGACCAAACTGTTACCTTTGAGGAACCGTTTGAACCATCGATGGAGAACACCTGGTTGTTGCCCGGCAATTCAATTAATTTTGGAAGAAAAGAACCCAATTTTTTTTGGGTGATTCTATTTGGAAGATAAAAGAGAGCCCCAACGGTAATATGTGATAAAAATGGTCAAATGACATTTATAGCCTTAAATATTAGTAGAAAAATGTCTTTTTACTACGATCATTAACCGTAGCAAAAGGTATCAAATTCGTAGTAAAAAGGTTTTTGCTACGAATTTACCCCGTAGCATATACGGGCGTGACAAAAGTTTTGCTACGGTAAATGGACGTATTAAATACTTTTTGCTACGATAAATCCTAGTATTTACTACGACTTCAAAATTGTTCCATAGTAAAAAGTACCTTTTATTACGGTTTTTCACCGTAGGAAACAAATTCGTAGTAATAAGCAAATTTTCTACTAGTGTTAAACGACTAAATTACCCCTCCCCGTTACTGAAATCCGACGAGAAGAATTAGTCCGGTAATACACATTTGGGGAAAAAATACAACGAGCTATATATCTCGAAAGGGTTAGTCTCATTTTTTTAATTTGAGGAGAAAAAGTGCAAAAATGACATTTTTTTAAGGGTCGAAGTGCAATTTGCCCTTAATTTAAAGGGACAAATAAAATCTTCGTTAGGGTTTTGTTTTTTTTTTTTTTGAGGATTCGTTAGGGTTTTGTTATTGTTTCGACTTTGGGGTTTTTTCATCAGTAAACCATGTCGAATTACGTACCAACAGACCTCCTGATCGAAATCCTCGTAAAACTGCCGGTTAAATCCTTAATCCGCTTCGCCGCCGTCTCCAAATTATGGTTTTTACCTCTCAAAAGGTAAAAACCATACCCATACCCTAATCCACACGCAAGGAAAAAATTCATTGGTTAAATTCACTGCAGATGGACCCTTTGCTGTCGATTCTCCCTCAAAACTCGAATTTCCCTACTACAAACCACACAGCATTTATTTAAGAATAGTAGACTCTTGCGATGGGCTTGTGTGCTTATCGAATAAATCCTTCATGATTTTTCCGCAATCACGTGGCGTTATATGGAACCCGTCTGTTAGAAATCATGTAGTTTTACCCGACCCTACTATCAATCCGAAAGACGCCTACATTTCTGTACTCGGTTTCGGAGTTGATGCAGGTCGTACCCACCACAAGGTAGTGAGGTTTGTTTACTGCAGAAACGCGGCCGGTATCTTTACGACACGGGTTGAGATATTTTCCCTCAAGACATGGAGTTGGCGGAGGTTGATTGGTGGAGTTGATCTTACTCTGGGCGCTTATCCAAGTCTGTTACGTCAAGTTCTCTTGAATGGGGTTGTGCATTGGCTCATCGAGGAAAAACCGATCGGTGACAATAGTTTTCGTCGTAGTTATATTTTGGCCTTTGATGTTGGAGATGAGGTATTCGGTGAAGTGATGTTGCCAGAATGGGAGGCGGGTGGTTCAGGTTTCGCAAAGTTGAGTATTTTCTTGATTAACGAATCACTCGGAGTTGTCAAGTCAACTGGCGAGTCGTGTGATGTGTGGGTGATGAAGGAGTACTGTGTGAGAGAATCTTGGACTAAGTTATATACCATTCGTTTGTTTGAAAAGATAGAAAATGTGGTTGCCTTTTTGAATAGCGGCGAAGCTTTATTGGCCTTAGAGAATTCTAGGTTAGTCGTCTATGATTCAGAGACTAAGCATACTAAAGATCTTGGAATCTATGGGACTCCGAGCTCGCTTTATATGTATAATTATGTCGAAAGCTTGCTCTTGCTTAGAGGACGGACATATTAGTGGAGACGAGTTAGATACGGTGATGTAATAACTTAGAAATATGGGAGAAGCTTTTTGCTGAATAGTAGCCGAAACAAATTAAACACCGTTGATGGGGATGTAAACGAAGGGCATTTCAGGCAAGACTTTAAATTATTCTATGCAACTCTTATTGTTTTGAGTTAGATATCACTTGATCTTGATATTATTACAATTACAATTTGCATTTCTATTTTTCTGCGTATTGAGCCTCTACATTTTGTCAATGATTTATTTCTCGTTTTATAGGCTCGATAAATTGAGTTCAAATTTGTTGAAAATAATTCGGCAGAGGAGAAAATATATTATACTGTCTATGTATCTAAATAGGTGCATGCATATGAAAATTTATGGACCTTATATTTGAGACGAAGAAAGAGCATTCTTTACTGATGGAAAAAAAAGATCTGCATCTTATTTTTTGATGTATACTAGTTAAATTTTATATTATGATGAAAGATCAATAGAATATATGAAACACAGTTTTTGCCTGCAAAGGGAGACAATATATTAGTTTTTTTCACGACGGTACGATGATAGGAAACGATTGAGAACAAATAAACGATTTAAAAAAAAAACAAAAAGATAAATAATCGGAAATCAAATTTTATATCTCAACACATGGGATGTAATTAGCCATATCTGCAAAAACTAAGAAAATAATGGTTAGATAAGTAAAATATATCTCAGGAAAATATAATAATTTGGTGGATAAGGTGTCCGTTTTCAGTCGGCGTTTTGACGGGCTGAACTCCATAGTAGACTTGTCCATCTTAATCTACTGCTCCGATGTCCTCGCGTTTTTTCAAAGTTATGGTGTCTTCTACCGAGGCCTCACCCAAAACATAAATTCGCAACAATAGGGGCAGCCGGAGCTATCCGAATCCCATGAAAATTCCTGTTATCGAAGCCTAGGTGCAGTAGATACAAAGATATGGTGAGAGGGGGTCACCCTGCCGAAGACCTCTCTTCAGAACCCCCGAGCCAAATTGAGATCATTAAAAAGAAATAAGAGACGGTAGACACACAAAGTCGTATAATATTCTCAACAAAATTACGAGGGAGGCCAAAGCGGACAAGTTTCTGTTTCTATAAAAAGCCACTCAATCTGATCGTAAGCTTTGCTGATATTAAACTTAATGGCTTAATCCCACTTTGCACTCTTCAAATTTTGTCTTTTGACACTTTGCACTCTAGAAAAATAATTATAGTAATGTCTACTCTCAAAACATAATAAATCTTTCACAATGCACCCTTAATTGAATAATAAATGACAATTCATTTTTTATTGATTTTTTTATTCCGGGGTGCAAAATAATGTCAAATGAAATTATTATTTTCTTCAGCCTCCAATCTAATTTCGAGCGCACAAAGTGCAAAAAAAAAAAAATCACACCGGATAATTGAAAAAAATATATATTCATACAAAATAAAATCAAATAAACTTTTATCACTAAATTATTCGATTGATAGATCTTTTATTGTAATTGGTAGAAATATTAGGTAGAAATATTTGGAAGAAAATATGATTGTCAGATAACTTAATAACGTAATAACTGAAGGATTTTTTGTGATAAAAAAATATAATTTTTAAATACAATGAAAAATATTAAATTACCTTTACTTAGCTTTAAAAACTGCTCATGTGAGATGCATTATGCATGAAATATTGTGTTTCGATGGTACAAAGTGCTATTAATTAATTTGGAGGGTGCAAAGTGCTAAAATTGTATATTTCAAGGGTGCAAAGTGAGATTAAACCTAAACTTAAAGTTCCCACAACCTCTCAATTTGAATTTGATGAAGTGGTTAACCTCATAAGCAACAAGAATATTATCAGTAATAGGTCGCATGTGAATAAAAGTTGTTTGAGTGGGGAAGATTGCGTCATTTAAAAAAGGCTTTAAACAATTAACAATTATTTTGGAACAAATTTTATAGACAACATCGCATAGGCTAATAGTGCGGTATCAGTAATTCGTTCGGGGTTTTTCTTTTTTGGGTTAAGAACTATATAGGTAGGGTTCGACATGGGTCGGGTCGGACAATTATCGGCCAGTTACTTACCCAAACTTACCAATAGATTTTACTAAATATTGAATACCATATTACTAGCCCGACTTTGTGAGGTAATAGTTGGCAACCGACTTTATTGGGTGAAAAATGGGTTGGATGGTTGGTGTTATTGGCCATTTAATTATTGATATTTTTGTTTTTCTACAATAACGATAAAAGTCCTCCCGAAATATTATTTCGGTTGCACTTTGCCCCAAAAGTCAATTTTTGTTGGTCATCGTGAAACAAAAATAACATTTTAAAAGGGTAGCGTGCTGAAAAATAATATTTTTAAGAGGGCAGCGTGCAACAAAAATAATATTTAAAAAGGTCAACGTTCGACAAAGATACTCAACTCTAGTGAATTACTCATTAGAATTTTGCTATAGGGCAATGTGTAACAAAAATAACATTTTAAAGGGGACATTCACTTCTTTTAATTTAAAGGGAGTAAAGTGCGAAATTATAAATTTATAGGGGGTCATGTGCAATTTGCCCTTCTTTTAATGCCCAGAAAACTGAAAATACAGAGGGGATGTTTGGTTATGTTTCCAAAATGAATTTCTAGTTTTCAAAATTTCTGATGGAAAAAGTAGATTATTGGTTTTTGTGTAGAAAATGGGAATATGTTTGGATGAAGGTGTATTTTTAGTTTTATGTAGGTGTAGAAATGAGAATATGTTTGGTTGTGGTGAATTTTCTCTACGAAAGTACGTGCAAAAGTAGAATATAATGATTGATGATGATGAATTGATGATAGTGATGATGATGATGATTATTATAATAATAATAATAATAATAATAATAATAATAATAATAATAATAATAATAATAATAATAATAATAATAATAATAAAATTATTATTATTATTATTATTATTATTATTATTATTATTATTATTATTATTATTATTATTATTATTATTATTATTATTATTATTATTATTATTATTATTGTTTGGATAATTACATCTACCCCCCTCAACTATGATTTTTTCTTACACCTCCACCCTTATTGTGTCAAATTCAACATAATCATCTAGATTCCGTGGAATGTGCTCTAGTTTGTACTCGTTTTGTGTAAACATACAATTTCTGATGCACCACAAACTAATATATACAAGTTAAAAATCACATATTATGATCAACTTGCTTCATAATGTAGAGTTTGAATGGGATAAAATGGAGCTAATTGCATAAAACCCCCTGTGTAATCTCAAATGGCCAAAAAAGCCCTCATGTTAAAAAAATTAGCAAGAACCCCCTTATGTTATCTTCTATGTAGCACACTGCCTCTTATTTCGTTTTTTTGTTGTTGACTTAGGGGAAATGACAAAATTACCCTGAATAAAAAATTAAATAAAATAAAAATATCCAACCCAAAAATAAAAAAATTGAAAAGAACAAAAAAAAAAAAAAGAAAAAAAAAAAGAAATCAAATTATTGTACAATTGCTCTTCCCCGTCAAAGCACCGGCCCCCACCCCCAACCCAAATCCAAAACCAGACAACTACTATCCATGAAAGCTCTCTAATGGTGCATCAACCGCCGCACACGTCGGGAACCATTGTCTACCTGCAATTGCGGCGGCGTGTGGTGGATCTTGACATCCTGAGGGAGGTATGGTGGTCATGGCGACGACTGTGGTGGAGGTGGTTATGTCGGTGGCCATGGTGGAGGTGGTTTTGGAGTCGACCTCATCGTGAGGGAGGTACGAATCAAGGTTTCCAGAATTTAGAATCGAGGTTTGGGAGGTAGCTGCCAACCTTCGAACCCGAGAATGAATTGGAGCCAGTATTCATCTATTTTGTGCTGCCGAGACTTCCAAACGAAGCCGTTTCGGAGTTCGAGTGCGGGTCGGAGGTGGGCTCGACGATGCCGTTTTGGAGTAGAAATCGAGATTGGTGTTTTCTGATGAAGAAGACGTCGGAGATGGCGTGAAGCTGGTTGAGTGATTTTTTTGTTTATTTTGGAGAAGATGGCTTTTTTGAAAAGGTGAAGGATTGAATTGAATTTTTTTGAAAACTTCATTTTGGGCCATATTGAATTTGGGGGTGAATCTGTAATTTTTGAAATTTATAATTTCAAGGGATTTTGGTCCTTTCGGGTCAAAAATACACCCACAGTCACACAATCCGCGTGTGGAGCACACGATAAGCTGGCAGGGCCCTTGTTGCCTTTGACTAATTTTCATAGGGGGGTTATTGCTAATTTTTTTAACACGGGGGGTTTTTCAGCAATTTTAGATTACACAGGGGTGGTTTTTGCAAAAAACCCGGATAAAATGGGTACACAAGCGATAATATTCCATATTATAATCTCGAAGATTCCACTTAATTTGAGGAGTTGAGGGGGTGGTTGTAATTATCCAAACAAGAGGGGTATTTTTGTAATTTGACCATACCTCAGGGGGGTGTTTGTAATTTACCCTTATTAGTATAATTATTATTATTATTATTATTATTATTATTATTATTATTATTATTATAACTATTATTATTATTATTATTATTATTATTATTATTATTATTATTATTATTAGTATTTATATTTTTAGTAGTAGTAAATTGAGAGGAAAGAGAGTGTAGATATTAATGAGGAGAGAGAAATGAGAGGAGAGAGAGTGTGAATATTAATGAGGAGAGAGAAATGAGTTGTTGGAATAAAATATATAGGTTAGTAGTAGGTTTTAGTAGGTTTTAAAATTGAAAAAATTACGAATAGTGTATTTTCAATAGAAATTTAATAGGAAAAAATGGGATTTTCTAGATAAAATTGTGAAACAAACATGATCTCGATTTTATGAATAGTATAGAACTGGAAATTGGTTTTGGAAATAAAACCAAACATCCTAGGTGTATTGTCAATTTCCCCAAATCTCTACGCTAGAAAATTTCAAAAAAAAATCGGTGAACTATGTCGGACTACTTTCCGGCAGATCTCCTCTCCGGAATCCTCGTTAAATTGCCAGTCAAAACCCTAATCCGATTCACCGCCGTTTCGAAATCATGGCGGTCGATTATCACCAGCGCCGCCTTCACCGCATCACACCTCTCAAACAAAAGTAAGAATCAAACCCTCCTCCTCACGCGCCACGGTAAATACAGCAAGCTAGATCAGTTTTCATTGCTGAAAGTATCTGAAAACGGACATTTTGGTATCAATTCGGAAATCGAAATTCCATTCGAATTCCCGATTGAGTATTCCAG